CAGTGGACACATTCAGAAAGAGAGACATTCAATTGAATAAGGGTTGAGAAAAAAAGGTTACATTGTGGATACTTTGGCCATGCAAGATTTTAGATGGCACGTTTATAAACCAATAAAAAAAAACAATGTTTGCAATTTTTCATTTAATCGGTCTTATTTTTCATAATCCAGTCAGCTCCCATAAATCCATGAGTTTAGAAACAGAAGATCCATAGATGACCATTTGAGCTCATTGTTAGCCATTGCCATGGCTCTGACAGACAGAAGCATTTCAATTAATCTCTTTTGAGTTTCTCCTATAGTTCAAACTGTTCAGGAGTGGAGATCTTTACGAGCAGGATGGCTTACATACAATAAATCAATGAAGATCAAGTTAATCTCTTGAAGAGTGTTTATGCGAGTGTCTGTAGCCTTCTAATATTCCACTCTAATCCATATTAACCAGAGATAATTCTGCAAATTGGCTGGATTATTCAATCATAAAAACCTCTCAGTAGTAGTATTTTAGTGTGTATGTGTGTGATTTTATAGTCCAAGAAGGTCTGAAAGTCAAGGCAACATAACAAATTATGATTAATAGCACAAAGACACCCAGTGTTTCTATGACCCTCTATTAGTCACAAAGAATCGCCCAATCTGCACAATCTGTCATAAACAGTCCTCAGACAGCAACACAAACACATGAGACTCACGTCCACCTTTTACGAGCATAACAGCAAAGATTGTCCCTCTTTCAGTTTGCCAAAACATTCCAATGATTCTAGTCAGTCTACACTGCCGTTCAAAGGTTTTAGGCTCGTAAGTTTTTTTTTTTTTAAAGAAGTCTCTTATGCTCACCAAAGCAGTATTTATTTGATCAGATAGACAGTACAAACAGTAACATTGTGAAATAGTATTATTTTTTATTCAAAATAACTTTTTTAATATTTAAAATGCAATTCAGTTCTGACGCTCAATTTTCAGCACTCATTACTGCAGTCTTCAGTGTCACATTATCCTTCAGAAATCATTGTAATATGGTGACTGGTGCTCAAGACACATTTGCCAATCCTTGCTGAATAAAAGTATTCATATCTTGGAAAAAAAAGAGAAATAAACCGATTACCCCAAACAGTACTGTAGTGTATAAATACATGCACAAACACTAAACTTCAACCTCTGATCTGAAAACCACAGATCATGAACAACAAGTGAAAACTAGTTGAAAGGTAAAGGTGTACCACTGGAGTGGAAAGACGTATTACCATCTTGAACTTCCTCACACTAGTCGAGCTACATAACAGCATTGCACTTGAGCACCATCCAAGAGAGTGACTTACACACACGTGTTTGCTTAGTGTACACACACCGAATCACAGCCCAGCCAAAAGTAACACCTGCTCTTAAAGTAAACAGGACAGATGCTCATCCTCCTGCATCAAAAGTGAGAGAGAGAGAGACTCAGTGACCCCCATTAATACACTGCATACCAGCCCCCCCCCCCTCTCCCTCTCTCTCTCTCTCTGGTCTGGAGTTTAAGTCCTGAAATTTCACTAACACCTACTAACCACCATCACCCTGACACTCTGGACCAGAACAATATTGTCAAACAAATTACAAACACAACAAAAACCAATTACACCACCATTCAAAAGTTTGGGGTCATTACATTATTTTTTTGAAGAAATTACAAAGTTTTATTCAGCAAGGATGCATTACATTTATCAAAAGTAAAAGTAAAGACATGTATAATGTTTCAAAAGATTGTTATTTCAAACAAGTGCTGTTCTTTTGAAATATTAAGCAACAACTTTGATACGCTGAAAATTCTGCCTTTTTGAGAACAAATACATTTGAAAATATATTAAAGTGAAAAAGGTATTGTAATAATATTGCATAATATAACTGTTTTTACTGTCATTTTGAACAAATAAATGCAGACTGTGTGAGCATAAGAGACATGCAGACAAACTGTGTCCACACTGCCATCAAACCAAACCCAAGACAGAACTGCGCTTTCTGACAAAATACACAGATATCCGGGAAAGTTGATCATGAAATTAAATACACTGATGCACCACACATTTAATAATGTACTAAACAATGAAACTGTGTCTTATGAGGGGAACACTAATAAGGACTGTGCCAGCATGAGCCTGTCACCACAGTATGAGGGTCAGTGAGTGATCTGACTGGAGTCTGTGTCTCCATCACTAAACACAAGCTCATTATCACTGTTTTTGGCACAATTAGTCTTATTCTTCATTCTTTCTTAATGACTTATTCAAGCAATATTACGTCTTTACCCACTTTTGCTTTATTTCATTATATTTTAGCTTAATTTGCACTATAATGTTTTTATTTGTTAATATTACTCGATTTTTTGCACTGTTTTTTAACTATTTGATGATAATTTCTCGTTCTATGCAGCTGCAAATGCTCTGGCAATACCATTGTGGAGTTTTTTGTGCTAATGAAGCACACTGAAATTGAAGATTGAAGAGAGAGTGTGTTTCTGTGGCCAAAACAAATATTACTCTGTGTACTCTCCAGCAGAGAATAACTGTTTTCCTTTGCCTGGCTTTATGAGCGCAGCACATCCCTGGCTGGCCATAGCTCATTTGTGACCCTGGAGCACAAAACCAGTTTTAAGTCGCTGGGGTATATTTGTTGCAATAGCCAAAAATACATTGTATGGGTCAAAATGATTGATTTTTCTTTTATGCCAAAAATCATTAGGACATTAAGTAAAAATCATGTTCCATGAAGATATTTTGTAAATTTCCCACTGTAAATATATCAAAACTTAATTTTTTATTAGTAATATGCATTGCTAAGAACTTCATTTGGACAACTTTAAAGGCGATTTTCTCAATATTTTAATTTTTTTGCACCCTCAGATTCCAGATTTTCAAATAGTTGTATCTCAGCCAAAAAAAATAATAATTTGTCCTATCTTAACCATACATCAATGGAAAGCTTATTTATTCAGCTTTCAAATAATGTATAAATCTCAATTTCGAAAAATTTACCCTTATGTCTAGTTTTGTGGTCCAGGGTCACATTTGTTCAATCATTTCCCACAATACATCCAGAACATCTACTCTGCAAAAAATTTGCCATGTATATACGCACAATGCTGAAATAAGGAATTCAGATCTCTCTACATGCACATGTCACGTGGCCATAACACTACAAAGCTACTGCTGTGGACAAGACTGGATCTTTGTACCGTGTTTTGGGGAGTTTAAGAGTTGACTGGCAACCATGGGTGCTCCTGGTGAAGGTGCTGATGGTAAAGGGTGAGGCTTGAGCAGATGACAGATGAAAGTGGTTAAGAACTCACTTAACAGCCACTTGGAAAAAGCTGAAGTGTACCTCAAGAATGCATCGCTGCATTTGTTTAAAGAAATAGTTCACCTTTAAAAATTAAAATGAAGCCATCTGACTCTCTTGCGGTTACAACAATGTATGATTTTCTTTTAATCTGTGGCACAAAAAAAGGAGATGTTAGTCAGAAATACCATGAGAGGGAGTAAATGATGACAAAGTTCGGTTTTGGTTGAACTTCCCGTTCCAATAAGATGTATTTTTGGTTCACTGTTCAGACAATAACTGACTGGTTTCCATCTTTCCATCTATGGAATCTATATTAACCCTGTAAAGTCTGACATATGAAATAGGCTACTAGTCAGAATTTTCTACTTGCCTTAAATGCATATTAATATCAATTGACACCCTATAAATCCCAATAATATGTCTATAGCCTTTATAGTGTTAAGATGACCTGACAGATTATAGATGAATTGAAGGTAAGTATAGACGGCTGATCCATGTGCACATTACATAATTAAAATGATTAAGAAGAGCACTGACCTCTTTCAAAAACACACTAGCAGAATGAAAGCTTGACTGCTCATGGTAATGTTATTTTCAATAACATTCATAGCAACACAATGACACAGACTGCTCTTTATGACAGCACACGATGCGCTCTTGCTCTCACAGCCCTTCTGCAAATTTCTGCACATGACAGCTCAACATAAATCAACTTAAATGCAGAAATACTCACACTTTACACCAGTGATTGTTTTTTCTTTGTCCCAATGGAACATGGCATTAACCTGCCTATTACAAACATTTCAACAATAATTAAACAAAAAATTATTAAAGAAGTTGTCATTTTATTGCCTGTATGACAGCTAGCCCTGATCTAGTATGGACTACAAATAGGCTATATTTCCAAACCCTAAATCAAAGCTTAAGCTTATATCAAAGCATTTATCTGCCTCTAACCTGTGAATAGCATACCTTTCAGCAAACTATAGTATAATGTTAAATATACAGATTGTACATAACTATAGAAATAACAAACACAAGTTGATGCTTGTTGCATTAACATAAATGCACCATGAATATGGATTAGTTTCTTTTGACAGAGGAAACCTGATCTCTAATTTATATCAGCAGGCATATACTGCTTGTGTTTAAAGGCAACAAACAAATGCATAAAGACTGAATAAGAAAAACAAACAGTTCTTCATTCTATATTATTATAAGTGAAAGGCCTTGTTCATCAAGACTGAAAATTCTGTCATGCAGCTACTACACAAGCTTTTGTTGTTCCAAACCCGCATGACTTCGCACAGTCCCCATTCACTTTCATCTGGTGGGGGGAAAAAAGATGCATCTAAAGTGAATGGTGACCGAGACTGTCTGCCAAACATCCCATTGCGGTCACACAGTTTGTAACAGGTTTGTGAGGGTGACTCTAAGATGACTTAGGCAAACTGTCTCTTTAAACGAACTCTTCGGATATGTAAATATCCCCCAACAGCCTCACAACCCAAACCCGTCTGATCTCAGACACGTTTTCATTTGCGTAAAGGTGAGGACGCAAAAAAAGCAAACCTGTCCAAACACGCCTAAACAAGAAAACGCGCAGAAACCTCGGCTACACACAGCGGAAATGTTGGACACTTTGCTGCCGTGACGAGACAGCAGGTGAAAGCGAATCTTACCGAGATACTGCCTGATCTCCAGCAGAACTTTAGGGGGTCCTCCGTTCAGCTGGTAAAACAGTGAGCCGAGACAGAAGAGCAGCAGTGTGGCCATGCAGAAACCATAATCGCGCAGAGAGAAGCGAAGCCCGAGAGCCAAGAACCAGAATCTCTTCCTGCTGTTCCGATCCGTGCTGTGACTCGCGCTGTGATTGTTTAGACGGGGACTGCTGCTGTAATTCTTCATCGTCTCCTCACATGGAAGCGCCGAGAATGGTCGTCACCCATCCGCCTCTTCAGATACAAACTTCTTAGTCAACATTTAAACAAAAACTAAAGTCACTTCACAGATCGATGCACGCGAGCACACGCGTTCAGATGTTCGCCCCCCGCTCGGTCGTGTTTTCTCGCCTGCTCTGGCTGAGCTATTTTTGCGAATGAAGTTGGGAATCCATCCTCTGCTTTTTGGGGTTAGGGTCGGTGTCAGATTACTGAACGTGGAGGAAAAAGTTCAACCGGAGGATGGACTCACACTCACGCGCTGCTGTGTGCAGCTGAGCACCACCAGGTGGAAGACGCGTGAAAGCTTCAGTGCAGTCTGAGGAAAACTAATAGGCCTACAACACACACATTTAGCTGCAAAATCGCTAATTATTTTAAAGGGGTCCTATTATGCTTTTTCACTTTTTCAACTTTAGTTAGTCTGTAATGTTGCTGTTTGAGCATAAAAAAGACCTGCAAAGTTACAAAGCTCAAAGTCCAATTCAAAAGGAGATATTTTATTGAACAGAAATCACTTTTCAAAAACTACAACGAACGACTCGTTTGGACTACAACGCATATTTTCCGGGATTTGTGATATCACAAATATCGACGAATGGGACGAGACCTGGTTGAGCTGCACTAGAGAAGGCAACGAGTGTTATCACTATGTCGGAGACATTCTAGCTTTCCCAAGGGAGACGAACTTAGAGTGGTTACAATCATCCAGGTTTAAATCACGCTCAAATTGATTTGATTTTGACGCAATATTTACACTGAAGCTCGCAGGCGGCTATGGGAAGGGGCGTGACATTTCCCAACCAGGTGCCGAGTGCTGCCAATCACAACACACACTGGCCCAGCTAACCAATCACAACACACACTGGCCCAGCTAACCAATCACAGCACATTTCGTATTTCAGAAGGCGGGCCCTCATTTGATACAGGCACTATTCGAGCCGTTCATGCCAGACTGGGGAGAGAGGTGTTGTAATAATGTAAAATGTGAAAAATAATGTGTTTTTGAACAACCTAGTATGAGAGACTGTTCTAGTACACCCCCCAAAACAAAATCAAGACTTTGTAAAAGAGCATAATAGGACCCCTTTAAATGAATGCAATTTTTATTTTTAAATACACATTTAATAAAAAAGATCAACAAATAATTGTGCTCTATCCATCTAACTATCTATCTGTCTGTAAAAACAGCTGTGCATTTGGAGCCAAATTTCCATGTCATACTGTTATTCTGAAGCAAAGGGCATTAAAGACAACAGCAATAATTAGAAACAACTTAATTAAATATTCGGCCAAGAATCAAATTCATGACTGAGCAGTTTTTGACAATTTGAACAAGCAAAACTCAATTGGACTCTTCCAGCCATGTAAGTAAGTGTTAGAATGATAAAAGCAGTCATGGTTTCATTTATAGTGCAACGCAATAACTTTTATTTCAGTGAGGCACTCTAAATCAAATGAAATTACATCTTTATTTAACCCACTGGAAATATAATCATGAATGCGTGAGCAAGGGCAAAAATAGGCCTCCTCTTTAGCTTCAAGCTGTGTTTGTTATTGTCTGCCCATTTTGGATATATAGTTTCCTGAGGGTTTTGAAATTATTTTATCAAAGATTTAAAGTAAAAGAAAGAATAGTTTGTCTCCTAATTTGTTCTCAAATGTGGATGTTTATTTGCATGCAGTACTGTTGATACTATTGTCAAGATAATTTATTTGTACTTTAATAATAAATGATCTAAGTGTCACTTCAGTTACTGATGCAATAAGGCATCAACTATATGCACTATTGGTCCCTATAGGTATATCCCCCTCTCATTTTTATGAAGATAAAGTTTTAAAAAATAGATCAATGGGTTTGTGTCATTGACATAACTGCTAGTGTTTTGTAGTCTTATAATACTGTTCTTTTGAACTTTATATTCATAAAAACCTGTACTCTTTTCAACATTGATAGTTACGTTTCTTGAGCACCAGATCTGAATATTAGAATGATTTATGAAGGATCGTGTGACACTTAAGACTGGAGTAATGGCTGAAAATACAGAGTACGGGAGAGCAGTCGGTGTAGGATATTTTTTATTACACCTCAAAGGGACACATTTTTTAAGACATTTTTGTTTGTAAATACACAAGTAAAACCTTTATAGACAATCATTAGCGAACTTAAACCAGATAAAATAATTTTTATACATATATTTTACATCACTGAAGCATGTCACTAACTATAGGAGAAAGAGTATTGCTATGATGTATAGTACAGCTAATAATTACATTTGATGTAAAAGCAAAAATAAGTTATTTAAATATCAATTACATATACAGAATGTGCAACCTCAGTTAATCATTTCATATATGTAATTAAGACCCAGTTTTATATCATTTAAGTTGAAATAATTAACTGCTCATGGTTAGTTCTGTAATTAATTAACAAGTGATTATAATTTTTTTTTAACAGAGATTTGATATTTAAACAGCTCACCTCAACCATCAACATCTGACCTGAAAACAAACTTCTTTAAAAAACTGTAAATGTGTCAATTTGTCGTCTCATTTTCTCCACAATGGAATAAAAAACAACTTTCATTCTTTAATAAAGTGCATTTTTACAGTAACATTTCATGAAATATATTTTCGATTTTATAATCACATAAAAAGCCTCATTGTTATCAAAGCACTCAACTGATAGCAATTTGAAGGCATCCATTCTGATACAAAGGGAATTTATCGATTCTCTACTGCTTTAAACGTTCATTAAAACCTTGAGCATTCCTGCCTATAAATTGTGCTGCGTTAGATACAAAAGAGTGAATGGCATGAGGGAGAAATACAATTCTAAAGCAAGCTTTCAAAAACACCATTTCCTAAAACCGCAAGGCCTTAGGGAAGCATGGCTGGTGTCTTTTTGTAAATGGAAAACCAAAGGATTTGCAGAAGCAACTGTAGGCCTACTGAAAGGAGTTGAGTTTTGACCTCAGTTGCTCAATCAAAAACAGCCTGAGAGTGATTGTGGGAGAAACTTGCTCCATTGTGCTTAATTTGGAGTGATGTAATGCTTTAAATCTGTGAGCAGTGAGGACGTCATGCTAATGCTTAAGTGACGTAACAGACGTCAGCTAATGTTTCATTTAGGAGCCAGATGCTGTCTGCCTTTACACACATCTGTGAGAGAATCACCAGATGTGTAAGCAAATTTAAGTCCATAACAGTCATTGTGTTCTGAATGACAAAAAGAAATAATGCTTCATTGGATATTTCTTCTTCCCAATTTTGAACACTTTTAACTCCTGGGTAAAGCACCAGTCTGCAAATGTAACTAGTGTCAGAACACTCCTCTAAGTTAGTCACTCACCATCAGTTTTGATTAGATTTTCTTGTATTTTAAGGCTAAGACTGTGTGCTTTCAAGAGCTCAAGGCTTTTTCTATGATTCAAAATGTCTTCAACACCCTAGTCAAAGTGCAAGGCAATCTGGGACAAAAGAAAAGAAAACAAAAATGAGCACCTGTACACTTTTCACTCCAGCAAGCATATTACAGCTGTGTGATGCATCACTGGCATCAGAGCCGAGTATGATATGCAGGAGTATCATTTTCAAGATAACAGGCAACATAAATTGATACAGCTGATACAGTAATAAACGTTGATATGCCGCAACAGCCGAGTAAGTGATGCGTGTTGAATATTTGTGTGTTTAGAAGACTGGGAAGATTAAATGTGCTGTGAATATACAGTATTATATTAAGCAGATTATAAGGAGTGATGCTAAAAAGTTACCTTGAAGAAAGAAACAAATGAAAAGTTTTTTTTTTTTTTTTTTTTTTTTTACAAACATAAAAAATATTTGCTAAAACCGTTACCAACTTTTGG